CAAAACAACTGGAGGTACAATCTGGGTACAATCCCAAAAACAACTGGAGCACCACTTGCTCCAGTTTGACTGCTCCAGCCATCAGCATTAACAAAATTACCACCGGTCAATTGCAAAAAGCAACTTTACTTTGAACAGCTTACATCCTGCAGTGATACAGTGAACACCATCAAACATCTAACTATCCCATGTCCTAGGGGAGGGCTTGGTAAATGGACAAAAATGCCAAACCAGTTGTAAACATTGGGCTGATTGCGACGAACCATAATAATGCCGTCCAAATTGTAATCAAGAAAAGTACCTGAGAATGCTCTTATGACAGCCAATTTGATGCAGTGGTTAAGGCACCAGGGTAGAAACTAGGAGACCATGAATTGTAAACTCCGTGTGGGCACAAATTAGCTGGGTGATCTGGGCCAGTCACTCCCACTCAGCCTTAGAAATGAGGAAATGTCAAACTACTTCTGGAAAACCATACCAAGAAAACTGCAGGAACTAGTCCAAGCAGTGCTAGAAGTCAATAATGACTTGAAGGCGCATGCACGCGTGCACACACACACACACACACACACACACACACACACACACAGCCCATATACCAAAAATTGGACACACCCTAAAATATGCATGCAAGCCATATGCATGCAAGCTTGCATGCATATTTTAGGGTGTGTCCAATTTTTTATCTTTCAATTTCCAAACATTAAGATTGCTCAAAAGTTGTAACATGCCTTAAGGATTGTAAAGATATTTTGCTTACTTTAATATAACTTAGATCCGCTTGGTATTTATGATATGATACATAAATATCATAACTTTTTAACATTTGGTTGTTTCATTAAGTCATGAGGAATTGACTCAAGGAAGCCTTTGCTTTTATTTATTCTCCATAACTACTGAAAATAAAGCTCCACATAATTTAATGGCTATTTTTACATATACTTTGCACCTTTTGATCCTCTGGAATTTTTAACAACTGTGATCTACTGAATTTTGCGTTTATGTTCCAGATTTTGTTGAATTTTTCTTCTTCCCATTGTGTGTCGTGATACATTTGGGAGCCAGGAGACATTGATATCATTCAGGAAAAATGGATAGAGTCCTTAAGGCAGCAAGAGATACATGAGATAAGCTCAGTGATGGGACACACACTTGGCATGCCAGTGACTTCACCCTCTAATGTCTGGGATCTTTTGGTTGAGTTGAGAAAATGCCCCATTTAAACTCTACATCACTGGTTCTCAACCTGTGATTCGTGGAGCCCTGGGGGACAATGATGTTGTCACAGGGGTCCATGAAGGCTTGAAAAAAATGTTATGATTTAAATTTTGAGTTAAGTCTTGAGGGAGGTCCGTGGCCACGGTTCATGGCCACAAAAGATATTTAAAGGGGGTTTGTGGTGAGGAAAACAGCATATTAATGATACTGAGCTATGTAAACCATCTAATTTGACATTCTATGTTGATGTGTAAGAGAAAAAATAGTTTATACAATCTCGTTGATTTTTTAAAATTACTGTTTATAATTGCTCTTGCAGTAGGTGCACTTCTTGAATGTTCCTATCACTTTCTTCTTCTCTCTGGCACATCCCAGGTATGGAGAAAATAAACTTCTCGGGTGGTGAACCGTTTCTGCATGAGCGAGGCACATTTGTCGGGAAGCTGGTCCAATTTTGCAAGGAGGAGCTAAAGTTGCCAAGTGTTAGCATTGTGACCAATGGTAGTATGGTTAAGGAGAGATGGTTCAAATATTATGGTAAGAACAGTGGTGCGATTCAATTTTTTTTACTACCGGTTCTGTGAGCGTGGTTTGGTGGGCGTGGCAGGGGAAGGATACTGTAAAATCTCCAGTCAGAGGTGGTATTTGCCGGTTCTCGGAACTACTCAAAATTTCCACTACCGGCTCTCCAGAACTGGTCAGAACCTGCTGAATACCACCTCTGGGTAAGATAAATTATAATCAGCTCTTCTACATAATAACAATAGTGCTTAGACTTGTATACCACTTCACAGTGCTTTATAGCCCTCTCTAAGCAATTTACAGCATATTGCCCCCCAATAATCTGGATCCTCATTTTACCAACTTCAGTAGAATGGAAGGTTGAGTCAACCTTGAGCTGGTGAGACTCGAACTGACGAACTTCTGGTGGCCGGTAGTCAGCAGAAATAGCCTGCAGTACTGCATTCAAACTACTGTGCCACCATGGCTCATAATATATCTGTTGTGCTGGTTAACTAGAGCAGTGATCCCCAACCTTTTTGACGCCACGGCCCGGTACCGGCATCAACTGGGCGCCGCCATCTTTTTTTGATGGCTTTCTACCCGGAAAAGCTCACCGGAAGCGCTGGCGCTGCCATCTTTTTTTGATGAAAAAGTGCTTCCGGTGAGCTTTCTACCCGGAAAAGCTCACCGGAAGCACTTTTTTACCAAAAAAAGTTGGCGGCGCCCAGCAACCAGCGGCCCGGTAAGACTTGTTCCGCGGACCGGTATCGGTCCGCGGACCGGCGGTTGGGGACCCCTGAACTAGAGGAAAGAATAAAAGGAATGTAGCCATCAAAAAGAGAATGAATGTCCAAAACCTCATAAAATAGTAAGAAACAAACTTCATTATTCACCCATCCCCTTGTTACCATATATGGTAGAAGGGTATGTTATCTGCAAAAGGCAGATATCAGTGGCCATGGTAAAATCTAAAGAGTTAATGAGAATGTTAAAAAAAGATTACAACTAGGATATTCCCAACCAACCCAATTTAATGAGCAAAGAGATTTCTCTGTCTGATGTAAAAGAGTGGATGAAACATTGAATGAAATATCCTGGTAGGAGCACAGCTCACTGGCTGGCATTTTGAATTGGTACGCTGTGTGGTTCCAATAAAATGCTCTGGGTTGGACTTGGCAGCAGAGCAAAAATCTTTCTAGTAGGGGGGGTAAAATGATTATTTTAGTTTTTGAAATTTGTCCATCCCTAGAAAAATCAGTAACAAAATGAGGTTCTTAAAACAGTTGCTTTTCATCTGGTTTTCATTCTTCTTAATGTACAGTGCTTAATATAAGTGTTATTGCTAGCAATATGGGGGAAAGATAATAGCTCAGAGATAGGATATTTGTTTCGTAAGAGAACCCAGGTTAGGTCAGCCAAAAAAAGCATTTTCTTGTCCCTGGAAAATCTGAGGTTCCAAAATCGGGAGAGCTGCTTTCAGTTACTACAATCAATATTGTACTGAGCTGAATAGACCAATTGTATGACTTGGAATTAGGCAGCTTCCAAAGAAATTTCTAAAAGTTTGTTTGTTCATTCATCACTCACTACTTTCACAATGACACTGACTACCAGGAAGCATCACATGGCCAGTTTTATTCTGTTAAGAAATTGGCAAACATTAGTAGCCAGAAATTATTATGTCGGGTTCAAACCCTCTACTAAAATCTGAACTCCGAGACCTTTGTACTTTAGATGATTTCTATTTAAGACATTAGATTTTAGGACCTGTTCATATCTTGGTATTGATCACTTGCAAGGAGAATATATAGAAGCTCTCGGAATGATATACTACCCTCTAATGTGGGGGTGGCAGAAATCATTTAAAATTACCTACAGGAGGGCATGGCATAATCTCACATCTATATCTCTCTATTCTGAGAATTCTGTGCTTATACCATTCCAAGACCTTCACTAGGTTCGCACAAGGTTTGCACAGCATGTTCAGCCATGAATTATGACTTCTAGCCACTGCTGGATTCACATAACAGACTGAATCTAACCCAACAAATGTTGTTTTATAATTTCTTCCCTTTAGTATTTTGACAGTGGTTACTTTTGTCATTTGAAGATTTTTGGGTTTACCATCAACATGTTACCTTCCATCTTAATTTTGGTTTCCATATTCTAAAGTTTGGTTTACTGACATATAAATAACAAGCATTTGTTTGTAACAGGGTAATTTCAAATAAATAATGTTAATATTTCTGGTTCCCTTGACACCTGAAGTGGTAAAAGAAGGAGAGTAAAGAAGGAGAGTTTTAATTTTTATGTTATGTTCTGTTGTAATTCTCAGTAAGCCAGCAGTTTAAACATAGCATAATACGTTATGGTTATGTTTATAATCAAGGTAATGGTTATTTCGCCTAGTATTTGATAAATTTAGATGACAATTAGCTGATGGTATTAAATACTAGTGAACTCTTTCTGCTTTAGGGGAATATCTAGATATTCTTGCCGTATCTTGTGATAGCTTCAATGAAGAAGTCAATGTTTTAATTGGCCGTGGGCAAGGGAAGAAAAATCATGTTGAAAATCTTGAAAAACTGAAGATGTGGTGCCAAAAATACAACGTTGCTTTCAAGATAAATTCTGTGATCAATCGTTTCAATGTGGAAGAAGACATGAATGAGAAAATCAAAGCTCTAAATCCTGTCCGCTGGAAGGTAAGAGCAGAAAATAATATAACTTTTAGTATTGTGTTGTGGGAAATATTGGCTATAACGGGTAGGACCCCTAAAATATTTTTAAAACAAAGAAAACAACTCCTTCATATTCTAAAAAAGCTGTCCATGTGGGTGTGGCATGGACCTGGTTCATTTTTTTGCCGTTACCCTGTCCATTGTTTTTTTTTTTTTTTTTTTTTTGCCGCTTGGAAAAGTTAACTTCAATCTCTTCAAGGAATCTGGACTTGATGCAAAGAAACATAATTAAAATTAAAGGTTGGAATCCAGCAGTTTCTTCAAAAGAACCTAAGGACGCGCATATGGATATATATGTAGACACACCCATCCATTCATTTTTTTTTTATCATTCCCAGCATTCTTCATTCTACTTTTCAGGTTTATAATTTGGCCTGATGAAGGAAATAATTTTATGGTTACTGTTGCTAAAGAGTCAGAATCTGCTGTAGATCACTTGGGAATTTATCACTAGACATCAATTTACTGCCAACCATTTTTATTCAATGGCTACAACTTAGGTTAATATAAACCATTATCAAAACTATAGTGATGGTGTTGATCTATGATATCTTGACTGCTGCAATCCGCAGAGTCCTAAAATAAGAAATTTTTAACCTATTTTGCATTTAAGGGCTATTTGCCTCTGACATTTTGGCAAAGGATCTTTAGAAGTCTCCATTCATTTTGTGTATATCACAATGTCTTCAGCATCCATTAGATGGCAGTAAGTTAGTTGACTATAAGGATCCGCGTCTTTTCAAAACCATTTTTTTCATACTTTGCTGAACATATGTGGGCATATTTACTTATTCCAAATATAACATAACTTATTTGTCTGTCTTTTTCTTTTCTGATCTATATTGTCACCAAAATGGAGTTCTACCTGAAACTCAAAATTTTAAATGTTTTTTTAACACCTGACCTTCCGAATATAAACCTCTGATCTTAATACGGTCATCTCAGAGGGGAGTGTAACAGCTGACCACCCTATGAAACAGAATGCCCACCCAAATTAGCTTTGCCTGTGGCTTAATATAGTTATTGCTACAGTATTTGATAACTTTAATGTGAATATTTGATTAAGCAGAAAGATAAACCCTGTATCGGGAGAAAGACTGCTCTAACCAATAATTTTCACCAATGTTTTTTAATAATTTTATTAAGCTTATTGAGTTATAAAATACAAAAGAAAATAGAAATAAAAAATGAAAGAGGGAAAAAAGATATGTAGGTTAAAGGTAGAAAATGAAATGAAAGCATTGGCTTCTGATTCTTTTTAGCACAGTAGACTAAAATGCTAATATTTCAGACTCAATCTTTTATTTTTACATACTTAATATGCATTAGCCATTTCTATAACAGAAAACTTATCCAATCAGCAAAACTCAAAATCAAAGTTTTATTTTCTTCCATCTCAAGCACAAAATCCAGAAGCTGAAGTTTTCACCAGTCTTTTGACTATGGATATAATTGCAAATTACCCATAAAGTATAATGCATGTATATGCTGCCAGACATCCGATTTACAGAAATAAAAGCTTTTATTAAATTTTCTTTGGTAGTATTGTTCTATTGCATGGTAATTGTGACCAGCAAGAATTCTCTCTTAATCGTACACTTGATGCTTTCTAGATATTTCAGTGCTTGCTCATCGAAGGAGAAAATACAGGAGAAGAATCTCTGAGAGAAGCTGAAAGATTCATCATCAATGATGAAGATTTTGAACGATTTGTGCACCGTCATAAAGATCTCCCATGCTTAGTCCCTGAATCTAATCAAAAGGTAATTATGCTGATTGTTCATACCCTTTGAAAGCAATATATTTATTATTTGGCATTAGAAGTCCTAATGCTGATGGCTTACAGCAAAATGCAATTATCCGGGTTCTTTTTTTCTTTCGCTACAAGAAAGCTTTTCTTTATGGAGATTTGTTAGAATGCTTGTAGTTTATGCCTCCTTAGCATTTTGGATCTGTACTGTTGGGAATCTAGATGCCCAGTGCTATACCAAGTGGAATTGCTGCACATTTCTTATTAATACTGTTGCAAGCAGTTTCATCAGAAATTAACAGTCATGACTTAATCATTTCTTTAGCACTGGGCCACTATAATAATGTGTAAAACTCTGTTACTGTACCATGATACAGTAATAATATTCTAATGCATCACATAACTGTTGATAGTGAATAGTCTCAATAGGGACATTCATGCGGAAATTTTTTTGCAAAACCACAAATTATTGTTGGGTTCAACAGAATTTAACTTTTCTAGGATCTCAGTTTGTTTCATTTAGTCTTGTTAAAGGAATGAAAACAACTCTTTTCCCATCCTTTGAGTTCTCTCTCCCTCCCCGCAGTTTGGATTATATTTTTAAAAAATATTTGTTCTTTTATAACTCATTAGATTAAACAGAGGTAGCAGTATTAGGTATGTTTGCTGCCTTGCGTTATTTATTATACAGATAGTCCTTGATTCATGCCTGGTCACTTAATGTTTGAAGTTATAATGAACCCCAAAAATACTTTCAATCTTAATTCAAAGTTTGATTACTGCCCCACATATCACAGTCAAAGGGCCCTTATTTCTGCCTGCATCTTACACAGGGCTGTCTAACACATGGGCCTGATGGGCACTTGCCTGCGGGCCCCACAAGCTTAGGAGCCCCATACTAATCTGTATATGTTCAATGCACCTTGTATCATATAAATACAGAAACATATTTATTACATTTTACTGCATTTTTTATTAATACATGCAAATATATGTTTAATTTTATCGACCATTTACATTTTTATTCCTGTGAGTAGTTGTTGTAGGGGCCCCAAAATACTGCTTTGCCCGGGGTCCATAATGCTGTTAAGACAGCCCTGATCCTACAGTCAGATGACTGCCAATTATGACTTTTTTTTTTTGCCAGAAACTAGCATTTACTTCCAATTTCCTAGAAAAAAAATCTAGTGTAGGCAATTAGTTCATTTAATAACTATAGTGATTCACTGGTCGTTTCTGGCACTAGGGGGTGGTGCTCATCTCCATTTCTAAACTGAAGAGTCAGCACTGTCCAAAGATGTCTCCATGGTCATGTGGCCGGCATGACTTAAGTGCCAAAGGCACACAGAGCGCTGTTACCTTCCCACCAAAGTGGTCCCTATTTTTCTACTTGCATTTTGTATGTGCTTTCGAACTGCTAGGACCAAAGAGAAGAATGCTATTATGTCTAACTACCAACACTCTACAATTCCCCCCTCCTACTTTCCCAGGCGCAGGAATATGGCAGCGTGGAAGCTTCTGGTACTAATATGGCTTCCAAACTGACACTGGGACAAGTAATGGGAGCTCACCCCGTTACGCGGTGCTAGGGATTCAAACTGCTGAACTGCTGACTTTCTGATTGACAAGCTCAGTGTCTTAGGCATTGAGCCACCACGTCCCTTCAGTCACCTGCTTAATTACAACCGTAATACTGCTGTCACTGATCCAATTCTCCAGTACCAAGAATCAGAAATAAAAGGTTCAATTAACTGCTTTTAATTCCTGAAGGCCTGGAAACATTGGCACATAGCAACCAAAGGCAGCAATAACCTCTGCTGTTTTCCCGCCAATTTAACCCTGCCCCCCCCCCCCCCCCCCCCCCCCCCCCCCCCCAGATGCTGTACTTCTTGAGAGGCCTGGAATCTTCTGTTGGGCCTAGACCTTTCTTCTGTTGCCAGCCTGCTCTCCAGCCATGCGCTCCGCCCTCCAGCTAATTGTCAGACCGCTGGCTTGTCAGGGGAGCTTTAAACACATTGTGGGCCTCCGATCACTGCTCTGATCCCCAGCTGATCGTTGACCAGCTTCTTCTTTGCCATAAGCCTCCCACACCATGAGTCTACTGTTTCACTCTCCCTGCAAGCCTTCCCCACTCCCCCTGAATGGCAACCCTGAGACGCCCCGCTGGAGGCTCGCTGTTGCGAGGGTTGACAAACGTGTCCTAACTACCTGCACTACCACGGCTCTGTTTGGATTTTGACAGGGAGGATTTTGAGATCCTGAGTGGGCCTCCTCCCCACCCAGGACCCCTCCGTTCTTTATCTTGGACTCTGTACACTTAATGACCCAGTCTCTTACTAAATGATCACAGTTAGATGCACAAGGATTGAGTCATTGATGAAGCAGTTTTATGATGTCTCACTTCATGACAGCTTTACTTGATGACCAAGACTCTGAGCTCAACTGTGGTCATAAATTAAGAATAGCTATACTCTTTCCAAAGCTCTACACTCTTCTTTTTATATGATGTGAACAATTGCATGTTTAAATGTTGAGTTTTGCCGTGTTCTTCTTTTGAGGAACTTGCTTAAATCATCATAATTCTATGGCTAGAAGTATAGTAGTTATAGGTGTGGGAAATCATAGCACAAAATGATATTATGTCACATCAGATTTCCATGGTAGGCTCTCTGCTAATTTAATTTAATTCTCTAGGCACAGGTAGCCTTTAATTTGCACACTATATTAAGGACTATCTTGAAACAGTAGCTCAAAATAAAAAAAATACTGTAAGCTATATCAAGCACATACAGGTAGTCCTCAACTTAAAACGGTTCATTTAGTGGTCCTTCAAAGTTACAACAGCACTAAAAAAAGTGACTTATGACAATTTTTCAGTTACAACCTTTGAAGCATCCTATGATCATGCGATCAAAATTCAGATGCTTGGCAACTGGTTCACACTTATGATGATTGCTGTGTCCCAAGGTTATGAGATCACCTTTTGCAACCTTCTGACAAGCAAAGTCAATGGGAAAGCCAGATTCACTCAACAACCAGATTACTAATTTATCAATTGCAGTGTTTCACTTAATAACTGAGGCCAGAAAGGTCATAAAATGGGGCAAATCTCACTTAACAAATGTCTTAACAACAGAAATTTTGGGCTCAATTGTAGTCATAAGTTGAGGACTACCTGTAAATGAAATCTGCTATTTTTTTAAATTTATGCATTACATTTTTATCCCACCTTTATTACTTTATAAATAATGCAAGACGGCAAACACATCCTGCACACCATTCTCCTATTTTCTTCTACCTGTGAGGTAGGTTGGGCTAGGAGAGACTGACGAAGTCATCCAGCTGGCTTTTATGCGTCGCTCTCTAAATATATCTAAATATATAGTTACACATTATGATAAATTAAAGTTGTTGCTTTTCCATCTTTTCACAGATGAGAGATTCCTACTTAATTCTGGATGAATATGTAAGTCATTTGGTTTGTCATTTTATTTGCTCTATATTTTGAAAATATTTTTCCTGTTTCTGAAATCAAAAGCTTTATTTCAGTCCTTGCCGTCGGGGGATCGCAACTTATACTTCTTGGAAGTAAAATCCCCTGAACTCAGTGAAGCATATCACAGTTTAGTATTATAAACAGAACTAATAAAATATTAGTTTTCAGGTATAAGTCTCCCTTGTATGGTGAAAACCTGATTTGATGGACTGTAGAGCCATACATTTTGGATACAACAGATGAAAATTTCCATTGTGTTTACATCATTTTATATCATTTGGGCAAGGTCATAAATGTGATGCAATAATGTCGTTTACATCACTTGTACGATAGTGTTGCTGTGAATAACATATTCTTTCAATAAAGGAGAAAATGTGTAGCTCAGGGTTGAAATTAGGGATCCTTGGTGATCTCTGAGCTTGGTTGTTTTCCTGTAGACATTTCATTACCCAAGCTAGATAATATCATCAGCACTAGTCTAGCACTGATGATATTATCTAGGTTGGGTAGTTATTTTCTAGCACTGATGATTTTACCTAATCTTTTAATGAAATATCTGCAAGAAAACAACCAATGTCAGAGAGCACCAAGGACCCCTCAATATATTCTTTAATTTAAAATAGATTCTTTTCCTACTATCACCCCCCCAAGTCCATTAAATAAAAAATCCATTGCATTCAGTGCAGCCCACAATAAAAGTGCATTCTATAGTGTTTACAAAAGTAGAGCAGTGCACATATGTGCAGTACAACTTTACATTTTATGGTCATACTTAAAACTCAGGCACTTTAATTGAGATGTTGAGATAAATAAGCCAAAAGAAAAGGGGAAAAGGGAAACATTCAGACAATTGGTACAATATCGAGATACTACTTATCTAAGGATTTCTCTGAGTCCTTTGATAGCCATCTTTAATTCCTGGTTACAAGGAACTGCTAGGTTGAAGCAAATTCTGAAGTTCAAATAAATCCATTTCTTTCTACAATTCTGGAGTATACATTGATTCAGCCTAACTCCACTGTTTTGGTGGGAGTCTGTATCTCCAGGTGAAACTCTTCTTTTAATCATTTTTGCAGTTTGTCTTGAGATCACGATTTGTGCAGTCAACATCGTGACTGAGGTATTAGTTTTTGCCAAGACCAAATTGATTGATACCTACAAACATATGTATTTTGGCCTGGGAAACTATAGACTCCTCTAAATTTCAGTATAGAAGGTTTCTGGAAAGACTTTTCAGACAGTTTGGTCTGTGTTGCTGTTTTTGTTGTTTCGCAATTATGATCTGTTACTTGTGAAATCTTTACACATGAGCTTAAAACAAAATACATTATGGTTTTTGGTATCATTCAGAGCCTTAATTATTAATAGCATTTACATGTATATAATTATGTGAAGTCATTTGCAGGATTGGAGTTAGGCACTAATTTCAAGCGATTTGGTTGTTTGGCAGAACAGCTGAACCCAGATGTTAATTCTCTTCTGCTATAATTCTTTTCTTTGCGTTTTTCCCAGATGCGTTTTCTCAACTGCATAAATGGCCGGAAAGAGCCTTCTCGGTCAATCCTGGATGTAGGAGTAAAAAGTGCTATACAATGCAGTGGCTTTGATGAAAATATGTTTTTGAAGCGAGGAGGCAAATATGTCTGGAGCAAAGCAGATATGGCACTGCAGTGGTGATCCAACTTGTTATCTGCTAGAAACGTCTGCAAGCACAAACTGTACTCATTTTACTCTTCTCTTCAGAGAAAGATGCTCAATAGTTTTTTTTAAAGAAACTGTCCTGCATTTTAGCTACCATGGGTGGATGGTGCTACGTCAGTGTTGCTTTATGGAAAAAAAAAAAAGAGTGATGTTTTGTGCACAAACAATGAATTGTACCAGCATAGAACATGCTGGCTTTAGAAAGACACTTGTCCAATAGTCAAACATGGAATACTGGGAAACAGTCCGATCTGCAAGATGATTGCTGCTGCCATGTTATAGAATTGCAGAGATGAATTTTAACATATTTAATGCTTAGTATGTGTCTATATAAAAAGAAAAAAAGAGATTGTAATTGTTTTTTTCCCAACACATGAAAGCATGGATACCAATTTACATATGTAAGCTCAGGATAATTAAACTAAGATTTTGGGACAAATTATCAGCAAACAGAAGGTACAGCAGAACTCTTAAGTTGCCATGGTTATCACAAGTGCATTACTGAAAATGAAATCAATAAAATTTTCAAACGAAGTTAGCAATTTTCAGGTAACCCAAAGCTGCCTTTAATGTTTATTGGAGAAGCAAAAGAGTAGGAAGATAAAAGAGATGTGAGTAGGGCTACCCGGGATATGTATTATTTGCATTTTTCTAAGGTACTTTTGTTTGTGGGTATGGAATGTGAGTTTTGTTTGCAATACTGCAAAAAGCCAATTTTAGACCTTTTGTGTGTGTGTGTGTGTGTGTGTGTTTTGTTTTTTTACCTCAAAATACTATGTAAAAGTGTAGCACTGGCTTCTGCAACTTCATTTGCCAACTCTGGAAGTGAAATGAGAGTGTTCCAAGAAGTCCTGATTTTAACTCCTATCGTTTAACATAATTTACTTATGACTAATGATGGTCAATACATCTTTGGAATAATCTGTGAAAAATAAAAGATATATTTTATTTTGTGATATTGTTTTATGGTTCATATTGTTTTCATTGTTTTATATATATTTTTGGTGTTTTTGTATCGTTTTTAACACTTTGCGAGCTCCTGAGAATCATACAGTGTATGGTAGCTATATAAATTCAATAAACATGACTTCAAAAGTACGTCATTCGAGTAATTTTTCCTGCAAACTGATTCATTCACTCATTCATTCAAACTGATTTATTCATTCGGTCTATATTCATAGATTTCTTTCTTTCAGGATGCTAGAATTCAACTGATCAGTTCATTGGTAATACAGAAGTTCATTTCTTAACACAGGTTTAAAATCTGCCTCTTGTTTGCTTATCCCCATATTGCTGTTTTTGTGGAGATAATTCTGTTGCTATGCAAAATGCTGCTTTGGCAATGTGTATATAAGGGTATGGTGGTGTCTCTCTCTCTTACCTGCATCTAATGTCTCTTTTCGATCTATTTGAGGGTCTCCACCAGCAAAAGAAAGAACCCTTTCTAGTTCCAGCTGCTGTGCCTAATGCATACCCACCACCAACAAAAAAGAAAAAAAAAAGTAATTTCCTATCATTTACTTAGCTGATCTTAGAAAAATTACACAGGGTTGGACTGATTAGAACTTGGATGGGAGATGAGCAGGAAAAGCCAGAACTTCAGTCTAGACAGAAAAGTCAACAAAATTCCTAGCAAAAGACAGTCCTGGCAATGGTAAATGAGTTCCATTTTTTGCAGGAAAAAAAAGCTATGGGAATGTCACCAAAAATCAAACTTGACTGAAAGGAACATTCATATTTATCCTGACTGCATTCGGGGGTGGGTGGGGGGGTTACATTATTTTCAAAGCTAGTAGGAGATAGTAAAATTTGAGAATTCCAGTTTACCCTATTCTTTGAAGTATAACGATTGCAACAATTATTTACTAGTAATACTATATGCTAATATGGTTGAACAAAAATACTTCAATCTTTTACAGGAATTTATAAGGTAATGTTTTTTTTGTACCTGCCTTGTGAGTTGGTGTTGATTCCTGGAAAGTGCCTGGACTACTCCACAGTTTTTTTTGGCAAGATTTTCAGAAATGGTTTGCCCTTGCCTGCTTCCCAGGGCTGATGGAAGAGTGACTGGCTCAAAGTCACCCGGCCAGCTTTCATGCCTAAGCAGGACTAGAACTTAAAGTCTCCTGGGTTTCTAGCCTGATACTTTAACCTCTACATCCAACTGACTTTCTTACATATTTTTTGGTCAAGTTAAATGTTTGATCTCTATTTGGAAGGAAAAAAAGACTTCTTTATATTGATTTATATTGTTGTAAATGTGGTCTATCAATTTAATATTTAGTCTCACAGAGGGAAAAAGTGTCCCATTTCAGAAATGAAGCAATATGCCCTAGACTCTGATGCTTAAAATATTAGAAGTCGTACTGTTATTAGATAATTATACCAACTGTCTTTATATATAACCTCAGGCAGCAAACATACCTAATTCTCCTTCCTTCTATTGTTCCCACAACCTATAAGGTGGATTGGGCTGAGAGATTGACTGGCCCAAATTCGTCAGCTGACTTTCTTGCCTAAGGCAGGACTAGAACTCACAATCTCCTGTTTTCTAGGCCAGCACCTTAACCACAACCCCGAATTGGTTCTCTTACCCCCTTTTTTAGGCTGAAAAATCTTTCCCTCCATGTCTATCTTTTAATAATTTTGGTTACTGCGCTAACAAATCTTTTGCCTATTAGAGAGTAAAGAGAGAACATTATTGATTTCAGAAAATTCAAGCACAGCCACACTTCTGTGTATTCATGATTCAACTGTGGAGGTGGTTAGCAGCGTCACGTTTCTAGGTTTGCAGCTAATAAATAGGCTAGCTTGGTCACTCAAAAGTGAGACACTGGTGAAGCAAGCACAACAGGGCCTGCATTTTTTTTGCATCGCACGATAAGAGTACATCTTCCTTCCCTGTTCCTCTATAGAGGGATGATTGAGAGCATCCTGTCATATTGCATTACTGTTTGGAAGCATTACCAAGAGAGTGGTGAGGATGGCAGAAAAGATGATTGGTAGTTTACTTCCTTCTATCTAGGTCAGGGGTGTCCAACCTTGGCAACTTTAAGACTTGTGGACTTCAACT